TTTTCAAGTTTTTATAATATAATTATATTTAGACAAGATAATATATACCCATATTTTGATAAATTTTATGATGATAAAATATATATATATATATATATATATATATATACAGTGAGCTTTTTATAAGAGGTTATTAAATATTTTTTATTTTATAATGATTAAAGGTTATTGGTTTTAGAAAAATGTGAAACTGTCAATTATATTTATGTAATTAATTTATTGATTGAAAAGACATTTTTGTAAATTTTGTTCTGTCATGTTACATGGTTAGTGATTATGGAAACGGTAGAATAGTTAAGTTTTTAATATTTTTATTGAACATTGTGTCATCATAAGATTATTAATTAGGTTAAGAAAATAATTAATGTTAAGTCAAGTTATCTCACTTGTACACTCTAAAAATACAAACGCATATTTACTTATTTAATTCAATTATATTTACAGTAGAACAACATAATAAAATTATAATTTTTCTATTCAAAAGCCATTATATATATTTTTATGATAAATTATTAAATATAGGAGTACTGAAATGATTTAAGATAGTGTTATTATTTTTTAAGTGAAATCTAGTAAATTTTTAAAAGTAGGTATGACTTGAAATTGAATATACTTTACCTATAAATTATTTTGATATTTTTAATGTCAGAAGTGATGCTTAAAAATATATTATTTTATTTATTCAAATTGACCATATAGCTTTATATTAATATATTTATATGATTGAATTTTGTTTTATTTTAAATGAAGTAAAATAGTCAATATTATTATGAACTTACTTGTAAGATCTGTGAAAGTTTAATCATAAATTATAATTAAATATATTAACAAAGTGTAACGTCCCCTCTTCACATGGGTGTTTGCGACGCTTTCGTGTCTTCTTGCCTATAAAGTTATGTTTTGATTAACGAGGTCTCGGGGACTCGACCTCGGTGTGTAATATTAATATACTAGATCAGGGTTACCTTATTTAAGTAAAGCACAATTGTATAAAATGTAACGTATATTTAACAGATAATTTAAGATTTATATAATAGAATGAAGGTTACCGATCCGGGTAGATTGACAAGCCGTGAGTGTGGATGGTGGATGGCTGCACGGATCGTTGAGGAGTCTTCTGGTCGTCTGTCTGCTCCTGGTGTCGCACACACACTCCTCGCACACACTCTCCTCGCACGCACTCTCCTACACTACACGTATTCGTCCTTGTTATATACCTTAAACTGCTGCCTAAAAGCCTTAGGTCAGCAGTCGGCCCCGCTTGCCATTCCTCACACTCAGCGTTTTAACAACGTGTGCTCTACATAAGGAATAATGTACGATGTCGATAGACGACAATCGTTACAAAAGTTATGAAGATTACAGTGAATTACTTATAATATTATAAACGTATTTTCTTTTAAATTTTGGTGTTTTATGCATTGCAAATAATGCGATTCCAGTTAGGTATGTGTAAAATTGTATTTGAGTAACGCGTTCATAAACTAGTATCTAAAAACTATACTTTACTAAGAATAAGTTTAATGAGACAACTCCCGAAAAAATCAAAGTATCATCTTTCATTCAATTGACAATATACCACAAATTATTTATTCCGTAATAATCAGTAAATTAGTAATTTAGGTGAAAATACTATAGATGATAAATTATATCTAATACAAGTTTCATTGATTTTTTATCTTAAAATATAAATATACAATATAGAGCAATACCTTTCTGAGTAATATACCTTCTACTCTCACATCTCATTTCTGAACAAATATTTAAAAAAATTACTATTAAAAAATATCAGCAATTACCACAAAACATTGATTCTTAAGTGATTAATTAATCGACCATAAAATCACCTCAATCGGCATAAAAGATAATGAAACTAACTAATTTCATTGAACAAACAATTATAAAGCTCGACGAAACTCGAAAACCTGTAAAAATTTGACATATACCTATGCATTTTCTACATATTTCTTCAAACATAAAATATATAATTCACATCATGACCAAAAACATTTATCACTGCTTGATTGAATTATGAATCTACTAAGGTACAGACGATCAAGAAAAACTTATATTCCTTAAACTTAAATTTACAACATAAAATATTAGACCGAATTAAATTTTACATTACTATATTATTTAAAGTTTAAACAATACTTTATGTGTTGATTCTCAAATGTCTTACAGAAAACTTTATTTTGAAAACAATACACGAATGTTATTCAAAAGGTTCATTCAATTTCAAGGGTTATAATGAGTTTAAAATTATTATTAAAATATTAGCTAATATATAATTATATTTTTGTGTAGTAAAATTATTACAATAATAAAAAGCGAAATTGTGGCCTTACCCTTTTCACAAAACAATAAACCTATGTATATATAATAAAGTAATTATAAATTATTTTATGTAACAAATTTTATATAATGCTAAATGTCGTGAAACAATTATAAAATATTTTTGTTTTATGTTTTATATTATTTAATATTAATAGTTAATAACTGTATGCTATAATAATTGGATATTATTTATCGAATACAAATCCAATAGCTGTTTTCAAAAATTATTTTGATAAATATAATTATATAAAATTAATTTTAATAAAAATAAAAATAGTGATAAACAGTTCTTCTTAACTTTCAAAAATTTATTGATACAATACAAAAGATATCTACAAATTATCATATTATATGATTTTTTAAAATTTATAGTTTATTTTAATTATTTATTCCGATTTAAAGTAAGTGTTATATATTAATACATACAGCAACAATGATATTGCTTTATTTTTAAAATTAAAATTAATTAAAGTTAGTGTTATTTTAAAATAGTTTAATGTTACAGTTTATTAAAAATTAAATTAACTAACCGAATTTCTTCTATTAGTTCTATTTAAATTTATAAACCTTAATCTAAATACTTGGTACTTTAAGAATATGAAATAGCTAATACCAATTGTTAGGTAGACAACGTATCTTTTGTTAATTTTATAAGCATACTGTTCAACGATAATAGTAGTATGAAATAGCCGGTTCTGGGTACCCCCCGCTTCATCCCCCCCACCAACATTGCGGCACTCTGCGGCACCCTACGTCATCAATCCCCTCCCACCGCCCGCCCTATCATTCGCGCCGGCGTGCCGCGGTACGTCATCACCCCACCCCGCCCCGTCACCGGGTCCGCCCGGCGGCGTACCGGGGCCCACGTCTTCGCCCTCCCCCCTCCCTGTGACGAGGCTGTGCTAGGGCCCCGCAGGGCTGCGGCACCCTACGTCATCGCCCCCTCACCCACCTCCCCGTACGATCGAGTTCCGCGGCACCTACGTCAACGCCCCCTCACCCACTCCTCCGCGCGGCGGCGTTCCGCGACACCCTACGTCATCGCATACGTACATACATACATACATGCATACTATATACATACATACTATATGCATACATACATACATACACACATTCCCCCACCATTTAAACCGAGTCTCATAAGCCAACATAGCTTCAATAATTGATTGTGCGGATTTATCTCTAACTAAGATGATAATATTATTGTTATTTTTCACAAGGTAGTGATACCGTGACCGCCCGACGTCCAACAAGCGCGTTTAATTATAACAGTGTAATGAAGAAAATGTGCGAACGTGGCGTGAAAAATATACAACGCTCGTCTATTGTGCGGGCATCGCCTCCGCCAGCACCTAGCGATTTAATTGACGCTGCGAATTTCGTCATAGACTTTGCGGGACGTAAGTCTATCAACATCGGACTCGACCCCTCGCATGTTTTCACCGTATCCGTACAGATAATAACATCGACGCGTCATGTATCCATAACGAGTGACTTTTTGTCTCGTATTTACTCGTTGATGGGTCATATTCTTTCGATTATATCCGATCCAGTGGTCAAAAGCCACGAGAGACTTTTTCTCAAAGACGAGACTAACACGCTGTCCAAAACTAGCTATCGCGGTGAAAATATATGCTCGTAATTGAGTCACATCTCCAACGAGGATACCGTGTGCTTTTGAATAGACAAAATCTACTAAGACTCCAAGACATGCAATGGGCGATCAATTAATCGATTGCGAGAAAATCCACCGTCGTGCGATGTGCGGTGATGGAACAAACTGATCTAATCGCATCATATTTAAGTATGAACGTTTATGTGGAAAAATCGTCAAGCATCGAAGAAATGATTGACACCACCCGTAATATAACGATTTACACGGAATGAATATAATTCCGGAAAGCCAATGCAGTTTCATAAATCAAATCAAGCTGTTTGCAAACAAGCAATTGGCATTGTGTTGGTTAACGAACATTCAAGATAATGGAACGCAACGTTTACCCAATGGCGGAGGCGGTGACAACGGCGTTTGCGGAGAGGTATTATTTTATAATACATATTTCATTTTGTATTTATATATATATATATATATATATATATATATATATATATATGTTATTTATTTACAGTTTATCGGTTTCGGCGGTGAAAATATCGAGCCCTCATTGTTCTCATTTCTACAGAGTGCCGTTAATCCCGCCCAGATGCTGTAAGCCCGACCTTGACATTCCACTCGCAGCCCAAGGAAATAAGAGACAAAATAATGATACCTTTATTGAAATGAAACACATATAGCACATTATAAGAATACACCATTTGTTTATGGATCACTCTAATTTGACCTAACACACACACACACACACACCATCTATACATATTATATAACATTTGTGCATTTTGTATCACTTTTATCATTATTGAGAAGGCTGCTTGTGCATGTATATATTATTATACTATTATTATCAAATATAATATTCATTATATTATTTAAAAAACAAATGCGTTATACGTATTTATTATTATTACTTTATTCAACGTAAAAACAATAATTATATAATATATATTTGTACATTTCGGGAGGAAAATTGTAGATATGCAGGTATATTATATATATATATATATATACAGGGATAACATTATACGTTTTATACTATAATATATCACATTTTTCTAACTTCTCCGGTAAGCGGATTGTACTGAATGACTCGATCATGAATAACTAGACAGTAGGCAGCCGTGTTAGCTAGGAAATATTTTTCCGCCTCGATTTCAACGCGGAGATCTACGTTGGAAATCTTGGCATCATCATTTTGCCGTGAACAATCTATACAGATAAATGGTCCCAACTTTTTATATTTCTGTCTTGTCAAACATGGTTGAGCGTCGAGTCGTTCGTAATAATGTTTTTGGAAATCAGCATAACTTTGATAAAACATCGTGAACAGATTTTTGTCAAAGCTCTTGTTAAAATCTTCATACGGATATTCGACTGAATTAATATACGCTTTAACGTTTGTAAGTGAGCACGTGTCATAATCGACGTTATAGCCATCCGACACAGTACCGGGAGAATTGATGAGGAAAGCGATTATTAAACACCTAGGTTTTTCCACCTGCGAGCATGTTTTCACCATCCACGAGTGTTTATTCGTCTGCGGTAGATTCGGGTACTCGCAAAGCTCCCAATTTCTAAAGGCGCAATGTATTATTTTTTTGCTATCCACAATTTTCAACAGCTTCAACCTCTCCCGGTCATCAACTTTAATCACCGGTACTTTCCAAAATACGCGGGTCAACTGCACCTTGATTTTTTTCGTCATAGTTTTTCCCGCCTCACTTGTCATGTCTTCACCCAACGCAGTGGTAAAATGTAACGAACTCAAATCCGACATCGATCTGTTCAATATGAGTGGTTGGCTACAATTCACCAGTATGCGTTTGTAGTCCTCGCAAAAACCGAAAACGTGCTTTAACGGAATACAACCGCTGAACGTGCCGTCTTTAACAAAATTAATATTTTTGCCATCGATATCCCAGGCGGCGTTTTGTAGAATATTCGCGCATCCGCCGGCGTGTACGAACAGTATCCGCTTTCATCACACTAGTTATCCCAGGCTTTTTAACCCGTTGTACTTCGGTAGAGTTTATTTCATATTTCATCTCATAAACATTTCACGTATCGGTGACTCGTTAATATACGGACCGGTAACGTCCAAAAACGACTTATCCATAGCGTATAATATAAAATATATACCTATTTACTTTTTGACTATTAAGCGTAAAAATTCGCGATTTTCTAATGACAGCTTTTTTCTTTTTTTTATATTTTTAACTTTTCTACGAGCGTTGGTACCGGTGTGTTGCGATCCGCGTCTGTCGGCCGTTGCATCTTTAATGCGGTCATCGGTATTAACGTGCGCATATTTATCGGCGTTAAATTTCAAACCCATTTTTTATAAGGAATCTCACGTTCACGGTTTCACCGCGAAAATCGATTAATTTACCGTTTTGATCGGTCAGCGATACTCGCACGTAATCGATCGTATTCATATTCAATTTATACAGTACACAACACTTCGGAATTTCAACTATTTTATAACCGGGTGGTACGGCGGGATAAAATTCGTGTATCGTATGTGATTGCTCTCCGTTATTGAATGAGCCTAAAGCTAAATTACATTCGACTTTTATCGTGTTGAAATTCATAATTTTCACTACTCGATCGGATTCATGACTACGATCACGCGCCAAAGCACGTTTAATGAAGCCCAATAACGGCGCGATACTATCCTTCCCGCCCAGATCGATGTCGCAATTACAATGCAGCGTGCATTTTAACGTGCTATTATCGGTCGATAAATTGAAAAAATGTACGTCGACGTCTATCACAAGTTCTCGTATTTTAGCCTCTAAAGCAATTATTTCATAACATCCGGTCGGTATTTTAACCTTAATGACCTCATCGCTCTTATTACGGATAATATGTAGAGTATCGCATCCAGCTCTGACGTTAGGTATTGAATTATATGTCTGCATACTAAGAAGGCCGATTTCAGATTTATTACCCACCTCTATGGGCGGGAAAAAATAACATTCCAATTCAACACTTCCCCCACTCAGCGAGAGTGTTTGCGATGGCATGGTGATAGCGGCGGTGGTGGCGACGATGGTTATTATTTTAATAATATGATTATTTTTGTTTTCTGGCTAAAAATTTCAAACATAAATGTCCACAGTTAAAAGTATTGTATGCTTGCTCCCGTTCGTAATTATATTCGATATCGCAACCTTTAAAATATTTTTCCAGCTGCAGAGGTGGTCGTATGTTCCCGAAACTATCGTAGTAATGAACTAGTTTTCCGATTTTTCTATAACACAACCAATGAGTACCATTATTTTTTTCAAAGTCGAGATTAACGACGGTGGCTTCCCTGTATTTAGGTGCGCCGGGCAACCTGTCTATACTATATACGCCTCTGAAATGAAGTTTCTTGTGAGTTTAGCGTATTTATCAATTTCGAAATCGAAAAGGGCACGATTGGGTAGAGTTAGTTTTTTGTCTTCAATGATTTTCTCAAAGTTCTCATTTTCCTAGAATTTCTATTATTTTTATTTTTATTTTTATTTTTTTTTTTATCCGTCGCCAACTTTTTCTTTCTCTTTCTCGTCATTGTCGCACTCATCTTCCTCCTACCCGATCCCGCAGATCCTACATCGGTACGCTTGCGCGAACTGCGGACATCAGATTTCCGCGCGATAGTATATGCACCACTGCCACTTTTATACGGCGATAAATACATCCCTTTTCCCAAATGTATAGGCGTTTTATCGCCCGATCTAATACCCCGCATCGTTTTCACGATTTTGGCTACACCGCCGCTTAGTGTCCCCAAAGCCGAAAGCCCCGCCAATATTGGAATTAATGATAGAGAACCTCCCATTTTCGGGACTTTTATTATGCACGGTGTCTTATTTTTATTATTATTATTATTGTTTGGCCGCCTGCCCGTCGTTTTTTTCACATGTTTTCGCGCCACGCAAACAGCTGATTTAATTAATTTACCCATATTCAACGTTCTCGGGCCCGTTCTTACCGATTTTTTTAATGCTTTTTTACACGCACTAACAATGTTCACGAAGCCGCACCCAGCTCCGATTTTGCGCTTAGCCTTCATAGCCGTCGTCACGAGCCACGCGGCAGCCTTTTCTTTATAATTTGCGTCTTTTGCGTGTACTCTACTCCAAGCACGCTCCTCCAATATACCGTCGGCCGCGTTTCGTTCCTCTGAAGAATTATTTTTATCGTAAGCTATATCGTGATCCTTGCACGTCGAGAGAAAGTCTTTTTTTTAAATCTGACCCTGGTCCGCAGTACTGATAGCCGGGCAGATGTAATTCGAACGGAACACTATTTATTAAGGTGTTTAATACCCCCGCACCGCTATTGGTCTTAACCTTTGCACGTGACAACATTATATGATTGCATCGCCCGATTGACACATGTATTTATACGATGCGGTTTGCGAAGCAAGAAATAAAACTCAAAGTCGATAATATCGATCCGTTATCATTGTGTGATAACAATAGCGCCACACGGATGCCGAGGCACGGCCCGTTGTTCCCGAACACGATACGTGCGTTAATTGTTGGCCCGTCGGGCTGCGGTAAAACGAATCTTGTTTTCACACTTTTAGTGCACGAGAACGGTATTAAATTTGAAAATATATATATTTATTCAAAAACACTAGATCAAGCTAAATATATTATGTTGGAGAAAATTTTAAACGATGTTCCCGCCGTTAATTTATTTAAATTTAGAGACAATGAAACGGTGATATCGCTCGAAAAAGCTTTACCGAACTCGGTTTTCATATTCGACGACGTAATAACGGAAAATAATAAAATCATAACATCGTTCGCTCGTATTTTTCGAGATCCAGACATAATCTAATAGACGTGTGTTATTTAGCGCAATCGTATTCACGCGTCCCGAAACAATTGATCCGTGACAACGCTAATTTTATAGTGTTGTTCAAACAAAATGAAATGAATTTAAAACACGTCTACGATGAGCATTGTTCGGGTGATATCAAGTACTCAGAGTTTAAAGATTTCTGCATGGCGTGTTGGCGAGGCGGGAGATTTGAATTTGTTGTTATCAGTAGCGAAAACACACGTGATAACGGACATTATAGGCATGGATTTGACACGTATGTCATTATATAATAAGACGTTGTGTCGAAATTTCACACATTTACTCGGGATCATGGATAAGACGAACAACTCACCAACGCCTACGTTATTAACGGATATTATTCGAGCAAGAGCGAATATAAAACAAAAATATAGCGCATTGAAAACGGGGCGATTTGAAACAGAGTCGTTAATAAATAATACTTTTAGTTCTACTATCGAGCCACTCGGTAGAATACAAACAAATACCAAGAGGTCGCAATCTTTCTCCTCCTCGCCATCGCTTGCGCCACAGCTGCAATCGGATGCGGGTTCTATTGTGAATCGTTCCCCAACACCACCCCTCCTATCATCGTCGGCGGCAACGTATCACGTTTTGAGCGAGAGATTTGGATCTTGGACCAAGGCGTGTCTGGACAGGATATACGGACCTAAAGACGTGTACACACCGGAGAATTTAGGTGTAATGTAACAAAGTTCGTGCTCGCTTGAATGTTACGATGTTACGATGTTACAACGACCAGTATGTACGTTTTAAGCCGAGCACTACTGTGTATCGGTTGTTCGCTGGTCTATCCATCAGTTATTCACAGTTTGTTCTTGAGTTCACATCGTAGCAATGTCTCCTATTGATTTACAAGTCGCTAGTGCATCATTTATTTTAATTCATTCTATTATAAAAAAAAATAAAAAAAAAGCGAAAGAAGATGGTGGCAAGCAAATTTAATGAAGTCTAGGGACATATGTAGTGGATCAGATTTATTAAATTGTCTTCAGCAACAGGAAATAAGCGGACAATATAGAAATTTCGTTAGAATGTCGTCTATTGATTTTGAATTTTTAATAAATTTGATTGGTCCAAAAATGTTAAAACAAGATACGAATTTCCGAAAATCCATTCTTGTGCAAGAAAGGTTAGCTGTTACCTTACGATTTTTGGCAACCGGTGAATCCTATCAAATTTTGCAGTACCTTTTTAAAATGTCAAAACAAGTTATTGGACAGATTGTTCCCGAGGTATGCAAAGCAATTGTAGAAGCATTAAAAGAAAATATACAGATAAACTTGTTATATGAATATTTTGAATTATATTTTAACACTTTTTAACATAATTTAAAAATAAAACATAATTTATTCCTGTTCAATTTTTACTAGTATTAATAATAAAAATAAAAATAATATTGATAATACAAGTCTCTTTTTTTTAATAATAATAATAATAATAATAGCATAATAATAAATTATTATAACAAATAATAATAATAATAATAATAATAACAAATTTTAATAAATGTATCATACTGTAAACACTTATTATTATAATAATAAAAAAAGAAATAATAATCTTTATAATTGTAACTTTTTAAAATGTTGTTTAATTTTAATATTAATTGAAAGATGAATTATAAGAACTAAGATCATAGGCAGTAGGATTGGGGGAAGGATTAGTGTTGTACGTAGGAGGCGAAGGGCTCGGATCATAGGTAGAAGGTGAAGGACTAGCAGTGTAAGTAGAAGGTATAGGGCTCGGATTGTAGGTAGAAAGAGATGTGTTGGGATTGTGTGATAATAATGGTTGCAAATGAAGAGGCTGGATTTGATTTATACTATTAGGATAGTTATATTCGTAGAAACCTTGGCAAGCTTTAAAAATGATGTTACCAAATTCATGTTGAACAGCATTTCTTGTTTGTGGGGA